TTTCTTTTACTTTTTCTTTTCCTTTTGTTTTCCTTTGGTTTTTGGGCTGCTTCGTTCTCCAACGTTTGCATCATTCTTGGGAGAGTTTCTCCGCTCAAACCTCCATCGCGTCAGTTTGCACCATTATCATCCGACTCTCTGCGGCATCTTTTGTTATCCTCCCCCCTACCTCCTCTGTATAACTTTACCCTTGTGTCTGATCCCCACCGTCCGATGTGGCTCTTCCGGGTTCTCTCGTCCGCTTTTTTCTTGTTCGTGACTGTCTCTTCCATCCCCCTGGCCTTCGATGTAGGCGGAAAGACATGCGGTCTGGCCTTTTCTCTATCTCTAGCCATCTTCTATTTCCTGTTTTCCCTTCTGAGACTCACCACCCCCGAACGCTCATGGCTACGTGCCTCTTTGATCACTGTTATTCGATCAACTCAATGGATCATAATTCCGGTCTTGCTGATTTGGTCGCTGAACCGCTTTTCGATCGATACAGATAACACAACTGGATGGGCAGAACGGACTTTTACCGGGAAACGAGCGCAGGACACGTCCGTTCAAGAATGGCTCTTTGGACCTGGTGGATTGGTGGAGTCGGTAACTATAGGAAACTGGGATAAACTGTTGCGATGGTCGACGCCAGTCTTCCAGCTGGTGGAAGGGTTTTGCAGTTTGTTGGTGATACAGGCTGCAGGGCAGATCACTCGATGGCTTGTTAACCGAGGTGGTCGCAGTGATAGCTGGATGGTACGTATCCGTCATGGCTTCTACTCCTGCGTCTTAATCGTTTTACCTCGTTCGTTGTTGCATGAGACCATAACTAAAGATCTGGCAGATCGGCCTTCTGGTGTTCTCCGGGTCCGCAATCTCGAGCGCAGTATACTTTCTCTGGCGCGTTTTGCAGTTCCCTGAGATCTCTAATGTAGATGCTGCCTTGATTGGGGTATCTATCACATGTGCGGTGATCTTGTGCGCGTGGGGGATCGGTAGTGGCCGTGGGAATCCAGTGGAGAGCTCTCTTCTATTCGCATATATCGTACTGTGTATCTATCAGATATTCACAGATTACCAACCGTCCTACCCTGTTGAACAGGCTCCCTCTCCCGCGCAAGCTGGGGACTTTCCCCCACTACCGCCGATCTTCATGGCCTCCTACACCACTTTGCTGCACGCCCTGTCTCTTTTGCCCTCTATTATCCATGCAGCTTTCAATGTGATCTCTGCGGTCTTTGGGGCCGTCACCCCCTCCGTCCTAATCTCACTCGCATACCGTATCTGTGTGCTGTATGCATCCACTCGGATCATCCCTGCTGTCCGTGAATCAGGTGCACGGGCTCTCTCGCAGGAAGCCTCTTTGGATGATTCTGATGCCGCTGGCCAGTTCCTGGGTCTCCTCAGCTACTTTTCTCCATCAATCCTGATTGCGGTTTATACCAGTCTCTTAATGCAACACTTCGCCTCTACTTCTCAGGCGATGGGCGGTAATGGAGAGTGGTGGAGCAGCCAAAGGGGCGGCGGCGGCAATCTTTGGCGATGGGTCAACTTAGCCTGCACCATGGCTTTGTACGCTGTGGAGCTATGGCTTGGCGAAAACGATGATTTGGATTCGGGATTAGCTAGCCATTGGAAGACCGACTGAGAACCATGATGGACCACTTGGTGGCACTATGCCCATTTCATACGCGAGACAGTGCAACCTGGCTTCGACGCGTCGGTGCAGGGGACTTATCCCGTCAATTATACTTTCTGATATCAGGCCAATATCGAGAGTTTCTTTTGGGCTCCGACTGTCAGCTTGGATGCCTATTGAAGGAAATGGCAGGGCCATTGTGTGGCGTAAATCTTGGATATTTCAAGACACTAATCAGAGACGGACCAGCACTCTTCCGTTCGCGTTCGGACGACACGCCATTGCTGCAGCTGAAACTCTTGCTTCATCAAGGGCGCGTGAATGCACGGCTCATCACTCTCGCGTCGAGCCCTGTTGGAATGCCTGACGATGATGCCTGAGAGTTCGGACGGTCGTGATGCCCTGCAGGTGTCAATAATGCCTTTCATAAATCAAGTGTAAGACAAGAATGTGTATATTCCCGCGGAACCATAGTCTGCAAGCATATATGCTTCGATAAGTCTGGAACAATTTACACTAGAAGATGACCGTCACGACGGAATCGAATCTGCCTTGTCTTTTCCATGCACGTTGTCTCCCTGAACCAGTGACCCTCCTCTTTTCTTTTCTTGGTATTAGCTATACTTCTACTTCTTGACCTATCTCACGTCCACATGATTGGCTATCTTCCCTTTGCCCCTTCCTCTTGCGCCCACCTTTGTTACTACTAGTAACGGTAGGAACTGCATCACTATGCAATTGGTCCTCTACTCATGTACAATGCTGTTTTATGTATGGAAGTTAAAATTGATTTCAGTCTTACGGTGAAACTGGCGGTGGCTTTCCCATCTTCCTTTCCATAGCCCCACCCCCACGAGACTCTTGTATCGGCCATGTCCCCCTCTCACCTTTCGACATGTGGCGTGTCATAGATTGATTGACTACGCGCCGTCTCGCGACATTGCTTAGTCCATGTCCATGGGTCCTATACATGATTCCTCGATTATGAATAAACTGTTCGTCATTTTGCCACCACCGGATCAAGAACGAGACACAGTTATCGGGATTATGCCCACATCTACTCGGCTGACCTGTCCGGTTGATACAATGTTATGGGCTGTATATATTGGGAGGTATCATATCATTCTTGTTGAGAAAGGCCTGACCAACGAACCACAAATGGCCGAACATGCATCAAATATGAAAAGAGGGGGTGGATGCAGGGTACTGAGAGTATGAGCAGTCACAAGAAGAGAAACATTTTCAGAGGCACGAGGCGTGATGTCAACAGTAACATGTTCAGATATAGATCAACTTGATAATCGGAAGAGTGAGAACAAGTAGCCTTGAGCACAAAGAGCGTGCAAAAAATAGGTAACCTGAGATATAAACAGAGAATGATAACAGCACTAGTCAAAGCCAGGATATAACTGATGCATAGCAGACGAAGTTAGCCTGGCTAGTGGGAGCCAGCCCAAGAAAATGCATTGCTGCAAGTCTCAAACAGGACTAGAAAGACACTAGTAGAAATAACTGTTTTAGTTAAGAAATTTAAGTCACCAGATGCACTGGATTTTTGTAGTTGGCTTCCAACTCTCTTTCCTTCAAACCTTGCACAGCAGTGAAGCACAAGCTACTTGAAACAACCTTTCTCGCGCACTAACCCTCACCTCCACTCTCAAAGAAAGATAAGGAAAAGTAGGCAGAGACATCAAGGAAGAGAAAAAGAAAAAAGGCTTAGTGGGGAAGACAAGGGTAAGGTAGCTTCGTGACGACATCATGGAACACAAAACCATAGCGCCAGGCTCTTTTTTATGTGACCATCACCGCGCAGGGCAACAAAAACCGAAAACAAACATGGACGATGATGATGATGCAACAAACAGCAAAGGAGGGGGAGTATCAGAAGAGAATATGAGCCAAAGGCCGATTATCGCCGGATTGGAACGCCACTGCGAGCAGGGGGCGGACTCACGCTGGGTTCCTTTGCATCTTTAAGTGCAGCGGTATTACCCTCGGATTCATCAGCGCTAGTTCCGCGTTGTAGATAGCTCCCTTCTTTCACCGGGCTGCGGCTTTGAAAACCAATGGACGCCGGGTGCCCACTGATGCTGCCATGTATCTGCTGTCCTTGAGAGTTGATACTGCCACCATTGCTGGTGGCTGCTGGGTTATTCGTCCCAGGAGAGGTAGCCGTCAAATGAGGGATATTTTCGGGGACAGGGTGCTGAGAACCAATATTGGTGACACCCACATCAGAGGCCTTGCCGGCCTTGCTCAGGGCGTAATCACCTGAATCGAAGTACTTCCGCTCCTTTACCATGAAAATCCGTCAGCCGAGTGAGCAAATTCGAAGGGACGTCAAACCCACATACCTTTAATTTATTCTGCAAGAGATCCTTCTTGGTGGGCATCTTTCCGTAGAGGCGCAATAGGCGTTGCTCATCGGGGGATAGGGACTAGGTTCATAATGACAGTCAGTTTTGGGTGCAAATGATGGAGGGGCGGCAAATGGACGGCTCACGGCAGTATCGACTTTGTTCTGCTGGTGGGGATTCATATTGATAGAGGGGGAGATGAAGGAAAAGTCTACGAAAGCTTATTTTCACCCAAGGGGTAAACTGGCAAGAATAGACCTGTGCCGGTCTATGAAGATGATGTGTAGCAGGTGAGGTAGTAAGTGACTGAGAGCTAGAAGGCGGGGAGGAGGTTGGATGTAAGGTGAAGAACGGGTGTCGTCAGAGAACCCCACCACCGAGCTACGGGAGTAAGTAACCCGTTTTTGTGGATGAGTTCCCAGTGGAATATAAATGATCAAAGTTCAGTGTGTATTGTAGACACAACCGGAAGGAGACAGATGGCACAGCAGACAGTAAAGCAAAGGGTCTGAAGAATAGATCGTGTATACTGAAGGTAAGTACTAAGTAGTAGAATGGGGGGAAATTCCGTCTAGTGGGCTGCTGTATGGTATGGAATGGTATGGTAATTTATCCAGTATTGTCCGTTTCCAAATTTGGCCGCGTTTCCACTCTGGGCATAATTGAGTACTCTGAACCTTGAGAAAGAAGGCTTGACACTGGTGTCGAGGATATGGCATCTAGTACTTGATTTAGGTCCAGTCCTATATTCATTTCCCGTAGACCAAGTCTTCAAGTGAGTTTCCATAAAACTTTTGGGGCAGTTGGTGTGTTGGTAAAGTCATTGCAAAGAACATAGATAACCATCTAGCATGACCTTCCATGCTATATTAAACTTTCATGTCGGAGGTACACACAGTACGGAGTATATTCCATATATATTCTCGGGCCCATGAGTTATTGCAATTTTGCAATTATTAGAGTACTTATTATCATTGAATGTGAAGAATTTATCGAAAAACACATTTTTTTGTCTTTTCCTTTTTTTTATCTCCCCCCTCTCTTCTCTCTCTTTCAAATCTACAGAGTGCTCCGTATTTGTGTATTATTTATTTATCCTAATTTCTCTCGGTTGCTCCAAAAACGGCCACTTCGTCATTGATCCCGAATTCACATCGGCCTACCATCTCGGCATCATATTACCTCAAATTGCTCTGTGTTAGACTTTCTCATTTGGAGATAGCTGCCTCTCAAATTATAGTACAATGACAGACCAGAACCCCTCCACAAACCCAGTCACCATCGTGGTTGAGCATTTGGACCCTGAATTGGGGGCTTGGTCGGCCTTGGAATATGGCTGCATCGCTCGCGAATCGCATGCGGCTGGCAGCCGATTTCTCCTTAGTTCAGTGCCCACCTCCCTGCAGATGCCAGAAGAGTTGGCCGCGACAGAAGGGTTACAAGTCGAGCACCGCAGTATTGAAGAGATTTTTGCGGATCGAAAGTCTAAGGTTTGTCTGTTAGACCCCGCGGCTCAGGCTGAACTGAGCCCCGCCGATGGAGAAATTTTTGAAGTGTTCCTTTTCGGGGGCATCCTTGGTGCGAATTCCCGGTTTTCCATTGGGGGTTCCAACCCTGGCTGACTTCTAGGGGACCTTCACGTCTATAGGCGATGATCCCCCGCGAGGCAAGTATTTCATCGGAATTGGTGGAAGAGAGACGTATACCGCGCATGCTACTAACCGAGACATACAGATCGCACGTCCGAATTGAGAAAGAAGGGTTATGCTGGAAGACGACTCGGTCCCAAACAGATGACCACTGATACAGCCGTGCGCGTCACCCGCATGGTTGTGCATGAGAAAGGTTCAATCACTGACTCGAGATCCCACTTACCCATGACTAGTGGGAAAGCTAACGATTCAACAGTACCCCTAGAGAAGATCCAGTATATCGATCACCCGGAGATTCTAATCAGTGAGCATGAACGAACTGAGATGCCCTTCCGCTACGTGAAAGGTGATGATGGACAACCTATCATGCCTCAGGTGTGTGCCTTGTAATTTCACTCGTTGAATTGACCACTACTGACAGATGCGCAGGGGATGGTTGATCTTATCAAAAAGGACGCCGACCAGGGCATTGATAATCTTTTCTGATCTGGGTTGGAGAGTCCTCTACAAGGTGTATAAGGAGAGGAAGAGTAAGGGAGGGACAAGAGGTTGAGCAAGTGCCCTTATTAATCTTCATCGCCTTGAACTGCTATATATCTCTAACCAGACTGAAAAAAAAAAAAAAAAAGAAAGAAAAAGGAAAAGGAAAATAAGAAACAGTCCAATAGATATGCTATTTAACCAAGTCGGTCCTATCTGTAGTATATATACAAGCAGTGTTTCCGTACATCGAGGGGCGAAGGACCACGTCTTACATTGCCATGAATAAAGACTATTGATGGTCTGTACAAGAAACCTCGACTCATCATGGCAGACGTTCATCGTTGCCCTATAGATCCCCTAAACAGGCAATGATAGGGTCCGGTACGGTATTGAAAATAAACAAGGGAAAAACAGATACTCGCTCGATCGGCAGGACAGATCTTGGCGGCTCAGTCGAAAGCGGTCTGGAATTATTACAGTCAGTACGATAATTGCCGCCGAAACGACTCCATCCAAGGCCACGCCATCGTCTCCGTTTATTCTTGACACTATTATTATTCTTGATTCGATAGACGGGCCTGTGGCTGTGTGGCAGCAAAGAATCATCGTTTCCTCTTCTCCTACATTCTCTCCGATCCGTTAGTCCTTCGCTAATTCATCCTGCTGCCACGGCTACTTACCACCCATATACCTCAATCTTTGGGAGCAGCAGAAGGACCATCCATGCGGACTTAGGCGCTGATCTAGTCCTCGTAGGACCTGGAATTCTGAACACTACTTTTAACCCCCTGCCCCCCCCTTCTTTCGTGGTTCTTCTACTCCCTCCATCCGCCCTCTTTAATCCTTGAGGCATGTTTTCTGCAATCTCGCGTGGGTTCCCCGGAATCAAAACGGGCGACACTACCTCCTTTTCCTTCAAGTCACTATGGCTGCTATCATTGCTCGCCTTGTGGGGTCCTCCATTGACCTCGGCCAAGTCAGCTGCGGATTACTATGTTCGCTCGTTGCCAGGTGCCCCCGATGGACCCTTGCTGAAGATGCATGCTGGGTGAGTTCGCCACTACTACCGGATCTCATCTATACATCGTTACCCCCCCCAACCAGGACTCCATTGCAGAGGTTTTGACCGCGGCTCTTTGAAACAGGCATATTGAAGTGGACCCACAGAACAATGGTAATCTCTTCTTTTGGCATTACCAAAATCGTCATATTGCCAACCGTCAGCGAACTGTAATCTGGCTTAACGGTGGCCCAGGATGTAGCTCAATGGATGGTGCATTGATGGAGGTTGGCCCATATCGACTGAAGGACAACAATACGTTGGAGTATAACGAAGGTTCTTGGGATGAGTTCGCCAACCTGCTTTTCGTGGATCAGCCGGTTGGAACTGGCTTCAGTTACGTTAATACCGACAGTTATCTTCATGAATTGGACGAGATGTCCGCGCACTTCATTATATTCTTGGACAAGTTTTTTGAGCTTTTTCCGGAATATGAAGGTGATGACGTATGAAATTCCTTGGATTGTCGTTTCACTGCCTAGCCATAAGATTCTGACTCTGGCAGATTTACCTTGCGGGCGAATCCTACGCCGGTCAGCATATACCATATATTGCGAAAGCTATTTTAGATCGGAACAAGAATGCGGCAAGCCCATGGAACCTTCGCGGCCTTTTAATCGGCAATGGTTGGATCTCTCCTGCGGATCAGTATCCCTCTTACTTGACTTTCGCATACGAAGAAGGCCTTATTGAAGAAGACAGTCGGACCGCGAAGAGCCTGGAAGTGTTACAGTCGGTCTGTCAATCGAAGCTGGAGACAGGTGGAAAAAATCAAGTACATATTGGTGACTGTGAATCAGTGTTGCAGGAGCTTCTGTCAAAGACTCTAGACTCTGACAACAAATGCTACAACATGTATGATATCCGCCTCCGCGATACGGCTCCGTCATGTGGCATGAACTGGCCCCAAGATCTAAAGGATGTGAAGCCGTATTTACGAAGGGCGGACGTTGTTAAAGCTCTGAATATAAATCCTGAAAAGAAGTCAGGGTGGGAAGAATGCTCAGGGGCTGTCAGCAGTTCTTTTCTTCCGAAAAAGTCAGTGCCAGCTGTTCAACTACTTCCCAGTCTACTCGAATCGGGTATTTCAGTTCTTCTCTTTAGCGGTGATAAAGACCTCATTTGCAACCACGTTGGAACCGAGCAGCTTATAAACAATATGAAATGGGGTGGTGGCGTCGGCTTCGAGACATCACCGGGCGTCTGGGCTCCCCGGCATGATTGGACTTTTGAGGGCGAACCAGCGGGCATCTATCAACACGCGAGGAATTTGACATATGTTCTTCTTTATAATTCTAGCCACATGGCGCCTTACGACCTCCCTCGTCAAACTCGAGACATGCTTGATCGCTTCATGAAGGTCGATATAGCAAGTATCGGTGGTAGCCCTGCAGACTCGCGCATTGATGGTGAAAAACTGCCTCAAACATCCGTGGGTGGTCATCCGAACAGCACTGCAGCCGAAGAGCAGGAGAAGGAGAGGATGAAACAGGCAGAATGGAAGGCCTATGCCAAGTCTGGAGAGGCAGTCCTCGTGGTTGTCATCATTGGCGTTTCTGTCTGGGGCTTCTTTATTTGGCGCAGCCGCCAACGACAACGCAGGTATCAAGGCCTGTACCACGAGGACGTAAGTGGGAGTTCTGTTCTAGAGCGCTTTCATAACAAACGCTCAGGAGCGGATGTAGAGGCGGGAGATTTTGACGAGTCAGAGCTTGATGATCTCCATTCGCCGGACATGGCGCGAGAACATTACGCAGTGGGGGAGGACAGCGACGAAGATGATGTGAACCGACAGCATCAGCGAACAACCATAAATCCAAGCTGAGCAGGTCATATACGAGTTTTTTTTCCCATTCTTCATGGCCAATCTTCATGCTATTCTCTTTTTCATTTTCATCTATGCTATTGCCCCCAGTGTACCATCTCTTGCCATGTCTGTTGACCATGTTAGCATTATCAGCTTCTCCGAACTAGTAAGATACATAGACATGAATGTGACTACATGAAAGCTGCAACGCAAACACAGCGGATGGGGCTTCGATCCTAATGTTCCGACTTAGTGAAGTCTCCCTTCTTGCTTTCTTTAATGCCGATTTCGCAACCCTTTCTACCCGCTGGCTGTCCGACATAACTATTCAACCGGGACGTAACCACCTCGCGCTGCAAAAATTCTCGCCCTGGATCTCTTTCACGCCCCGAAGAATTATCTCCGAAGCGTCCAGACCTTGATACTTCCATCGTCTGCGGTTGTAACAAGCACTTCCTCGTTTTCTGTTCGGTCTCGGTCCGCGCGCGTCGCCCATGTAGCATGATTGATCTCGTAGATGCCATGGGCACCTTCCAATATCGCAATAGCTACCCATTCTGTATGAGGTTGAGGTGTAGTAGCAGGTGTATCTGTAGGAGTATTGGTGTCTAGCGTTTGTGCTGGTGTTGTCAAGAACAGCTCCTCGTAGACCACGATGCGTCCATCTGCACCGACAGAAGCTAATAGCCCAGTGCGCTTGCTCCATGCAACCGCGTAGATGGAGAGCTCATGCATTTGTGGGAGAAGAGCGTCTTCTTCCCACGTTTCGTCGGTGCCTGTTGGCCGAATGATACTAGGGATACCCGTACTTCCAACCTGTGGTTGTGCCCGCTGTTCTTTAGGCTTTCGTTTCCAGATGCGGACTGTTCTGTCATCGGAGCATGAGGCGAGACGAGGGCCAGACATTGCACGCTGGTCCTTCCATTCAGTAGACTGGGACGTGCCCTGTTCACACCCCGCAGCAGTAGATGGCACGTTGTCAATACCCTCCCAGTCTAGATGCCAGACAGTTCCCGTATGACCCTTGATGCATGCCACCTGGCCCCAATCATCGATATCCTCACGCCACAACCGAATGGTGTCGTCGTAGCTGGCGCTGGCCAGACACTCCTCCACGGGATGCCAGGCGACACATTTTACGTCGCCTTCATGTTCCTGCATGACAGCTACGGTCTCGAAATTGTTGTCGCCGTCATCCAAGTCTTCCCAGATCCATATCGACTTATCTCGGGAGCATGTCGCCAACAACATCCCAGATGGCGACCACGACACTGACTTGACTTCGCTGTCATGTCCATCTAGGAGGACAGCGAATCGCCATTCTTCATCATCTTCATCATCCTGAGTATCACGCCCATTCCCATCGAGTGTCTCTGAACTCAAGCCCCGGGCATCTGTGCCAGCCTCTGCCCGACCATAACTGTCCCACCGTCGCCAGATCCCCACTGTTGCGTCAAAACTCCCCGTCGCCAGAACACTTTCGCCTTGTACATGTGGTTTCCAGGCACATGTGCGCACGCTGCGTTTGTGACCGCCTGAGATGGTCGAGAGAAGCCGAAAATTGGTTAGCGAGTATACACGGACAGTTTTATCGGAGCTACAGGTCGCAACAATGGGGAGAGAGGGATGGGGCGCGGTCAACCACGTGCGTTCGAGGGACGGAGGGGTCAAATCTGACAGCAGTGTAAGAGAGGCAGTTGGGTTTCCGGTCATTGTGAATGTATCTTCCTTTTCATCCAACCCTTTTTGATTGTCCCTAGTTTAGAAGGCTTGCTGGAATTGCAGACTGGGAGCGGACAGAATATCTGCTGTAGTGGTGGGGGG